CTTCTTATCTATAATACTGACAGCTGCCTAAACGAAACCGAACTTCATCGAGCGAAAGAAGAGAAGAAAAAGGAAAGTACACGAATGAATAGCAGCCATGCGATTCCTGTCGGAAGACCCAATCTTTATCACCGAACACGAGCTAAAAAACGTATCGTTCCTCCGTAGTTGACCGCGCGCGCATCCAGCGCGTCGAACTTAATACTTAGCAGCTAAAAACGTAAACTTAACGCGCCTAACGACATAAATAACATAGAAGACGACATGTCAGAGAAAGAAGAAGTTAGAAAGTGACTGATTCGAATCTCTCGCTGCCGATCGTCGAGCAACAGACTAGACCGTACCCCTATACAATGCAGCTCTCACGTCTCGGCCGAGCTCCGACAAGCTAAAAGCGCACAGGGGCAAGGGGAGACATCCACTCGCGGCGCTCGGCCCGGTAACTATGGCAACAGCGACGCCTCAGTTTCCGCACGTCGTTCTTATCGGCCGAGTCGCGTAACAAAGAAGACAAGCGAAACGGAATGCAATGAAGTGAGATGTACGAGCACTAGTGTCGGATTTCGTTTCTGCGCGACAACTATGTTTTCCGGGAGGGCCGAGGCGGAGCGTGCGACCGATTCCCCTTGCCCCCCTTCACTCAAAGCTTGATGAAGCTCGGCCAAGACGCTAGAGCTGTACTGTAGTTCCCCAGTCCTCGGCGCGTCATGATCCTGGTCTGTCCCGTTTCTTGGTCCCTCTTTCTCTTCCGTTTTATGTTTTCTGGCACAGCCTTGTTCCTCCTGCTCCATGGATCATCTCGCGTGTCTTCGCGCGTGTGTCCCGTCGAAATCGTCCTGTTCGCCGTGGCAAACACGGTTGCTCGAAGGTGGATTGCTCAGGGAGTCGTCCAGGTCCTGGAGAGGATTCTCAGCCGGGTACGCGACGGCTACCCGGTCATCTTCCGGTGATGTGTTCCTGTTTCTCCCCCCCAGCGGTTCAGTCCCGGTTCATCGGCCTGTTTTCCACAGCGAATTTCTTCGAACAGTCTCGGGCGTGGATGTGCACAGGTGTCGTGTGCTCTCCGTGGACTAGCTCAGTTTAATCGGCCGTAGTACGGTCTGTCGGGGATTCGGGGGGGAATATTGGGTACGGGACGCCTACAACACAGACAGTGATTAAATACTCGATGACTTTTCCTCGGTCGCGCGCGCGCGCGCGAGCGGATCGATGCTCGCCGAGAATAAAAAAAGATTAAGCGGCGGTGACGCTTGTGCTTGTGTGATGGGTTCACCCTTCGAATACGAATTCTAAGTTTCTTGGCACCATTGTTACCACCGAAAGAGCTTCCCTTTTTTCCGCGTTTCGTGCTAGACGCCGGAGCGTTGAGATTGTTAACGCATTGCGGACGGATGACGAGATGTTTGATGGCTCTGGGTGGGTTTCGCATGGAAATGTTCCTGGTTAAAGCAGTTTGGAAATGAATGTAGCTTTAGAATGTTTAGTAGAATTGGGTATTTGGTTTGAAGACAGTTTCTACGTATCGATAGGTAGATTAAGAATATTGATGCAAAGAAGTTATGCAGATGGCTTCTAGCGATGAGCAAATGTTTCGTCCGCAATGCGTTAACGGTATCCATTTTGGAGGTCAATTTGTTTAGCTGAAGTAATGATTGGGATTTTTGTGAAGTTATTTGGTAGTTTTCTGTGGGGTTGTTGCTGGTAGTTTAACCGGGAGGATTGATTGATTGGTTTTTCGGAAATCTTTTTGAAAAGCTCCACGTTGTCGACTGATTATTTTATGCAGAATTTCCTTTCCCGATTGTACCGCTAATTGTAGGAGTTTTTAGATATACTTTTGGATCGCGGATAGACCATAGAGAAGTGTTATCAGCGAGTAAGATAATTTTGCATGTCGGCATCGTATTATTTTCTGAGAAATTAAGAAGTTCGACTTGGATTAGTTTAATAAGTAATTGAAAAGATAGCGATGAAGAAAGATTGTAAGAAAGAAACGCTACCAAGAAACAAAATACGTTTGAGAAATGTATAAATATATTTTGGATAGTATAGTTAAATTCTTCGCCGATACAAGACACTAATCTCTGTATAAGATAATATTCAATTAAATGTAAAGCAACCTTATACTTTAATTGAAAGATGTTTAGAAAATACATTGATAATCCTTAAGCATCTTAAAGACATCTCTTTAAAGTCAAAAAGGTGGATACGTAGCAATATTTCTTCGCAAAATACATTCTGCTGCACTATTAAGCAAATTGAATTACAACTACATTATTTCGTATCTGAAGGGTAAAGTATAAAGTGATCGATGACGTCCAATTAAATTCGTCATAATTCGGCAAACCTTTAGTCACGAGAAAATATACAGTCTCAGAACTAAACAAATTTAATTGGGCATCGCGAGCACTCATTTAATCTATTGCGTGATGATATGCGAACAAGTATAATAAAACGGAATGCTTCTTTAACAATGTCAGAATTTCTAGTGAAGAAAGAAACATTAATATTAAGTAGTATGAAACACAGCGAATAATTGTTTTCACTAAGAAAAAGATATACATCAACTGCGGGTTTTATGCATTTATAATCATTAGAAAATTATAACAATAATCAGTCATATATAATTTCATAAAATCCGATACATGACAAGGTCCAGAAAAATCTGTCTTTTACTTTGCTCGAAATTCGATCAAATCTCGAACAAAATTTAATAGAACGGAAAAGAAAACGATTTTTTAAATCGCATAAATATCCGCAGCATTCAATAGAATTAACGAATAATAGTGATGCGACACAGACGCGGTGATGTGTGGTGAGGTGCGTATAAAACAGAAATCATCTCCATTGAATGAACAAACGATAGAACAAACAACAAAAGGAACGCGGATGGGATGATGTGAACTGTCAAGGAGATTCAACAGATTTGCACAACATGCTCAAGCGATAGCGAGAAAAAAAAACGCATGCACATATGAACGTGTCAGAGAACACACTCGAACCTTTCGCTATTATTTCTCGCGCGTACACGAAGCAAA